AAGCTTGTGTTTGTGTTGTCAGGACGTGTACGCCTCCTTCTGCGAGCTGGACACTAAGGGCATGTGTTATCGCTTTGAGGTGTCGCTGTGTGGTCCTGCTATTGAGCTGCACAACTGCATGGCCAAACTGCTGTGCCATCCACTGCAGAGGCCCTTCCAGAGCCACGCGTCCTACAGTCTGCTGGAGGACGAGGACACGCTGGAGAACGAAGCCACTGTGTGAGATTTTACTCAGTAGACCCATCAAATCACCTAGATTAGGGACTGATGAACTCCAAAATGAAGGAGTGACCTGTGAATAACTGCTTTGCCTGTTATATCTGTACTATCGATGTCTCTTTTATTTCTTTAAAACTTCAGTGTCTTAATTTCCTAAAGCCGCCATAACAAATCTAAAGACAATTGTGGATGAGTTGAGTATTGGTGGTTTGATCCCAGCACAGGATCCACTAAATAATCAGCATTTAGAATGTCACCTGTAAGTGATTCATGTGTTTGTGTGGTGGAGGTTCAGAGATGAGCTTGTGGGAATGGTGCTCATTGAGATCCGTTGGTTAGTGCTAAAGGTTTGGTGGGAGCACATTTGGACAGCATCTAATAAATACGGTTTGCTTGTTATAGCCAAATAAATGAAAAGGAAATACCCTGTGGGACTCTTTTCTACACAGAAAAACACAGGGATCAATGTTACAGGGTTCACACGGTTATGGAAAACCTGGACATGGCATTTTCCAGGCCTGGAAAAGTTTTGGAAAAACCCACAAAGTTTTGGAAAACTCATGGAAATTACATTTATCATTTAGCAGACATTTTCGTCCAAAGCGATTTAAGCTGTGGTCACACTAGAGTTTGTGCTTGCAAAATTCTGTCGTATGGTCCTGCGAAAAGGGGGGGGGTTAAACAATATGATTGGACATTAATAAAAGTGAGAAACTGTTCAGTTTAGTAATAAAAATTGTTTATTTCAGTTCAGTGTGGTTTAATTTTCAATGCTGATGCATTGCAAACACGGAGGAGCAAATCCATCATTGCACAGCTCCACAAGTCTCAAACCAAGCAAGCCAGTGGCCTGCAACAAACTTCACCAATTGACGAAAGTGAAGTAAAAAAAATCCTCGAGAGAAACTAGGTTTGGGACGACAATTTTTCCTCTGGCCAACCTTCTTCGGCAGAGCTGCAGTCTAGGAGCCGGAGGCTGGAGAACGCCGGACAACCATCGTGGAGAAGCTGCAGGTGTGAGTAGGTCACCAGCAGGTGTTCCCACAGGATCAATGTGAAGACTCAACGGTCACTGGGGTCTTTCAGGAGTCTCATGCTCCCCACTCCTTTATAACCAGCATAAATCATCTGCTCAAGATATGGTACAGGATTATGGATATCTTGGCATCATCTCTTCACAGATCTTAGATCACATCAATGAGGAAGCACAACCTCTAGAGCAGGGCTGCTCAATCCTGTTCCTGGAGATCTACCTTCCTGCAAAACACACCCTGTTCAAACACACCTGAACCAATTAATTAGGACCTGAACAGCACTTGATAATTACAGGCAGGTGTGTTTGAAATGGGTAGCAACTGAAATCTGCAATAAGGTAGATCTCCAGGAACAGGGTTGAGCACCCCTGCTCACCAATCTCGGTCCTGGAGGGCTGGTGTCCCTGCGGGGTTTAGCTTCAACTTGCCTCAACACACCTGCCTGGATGTTTCAATTTAACCTAGTGAAACCTTGATTAGCTTGTTCAGGTGTGTTTGATTAAGGTTGGAGCTCAAATCTGCAGGACACCGGCCCTCCAGAAACAAGTTTGGTGAGCCCTGTTCTAGAGACCTCAGGATGAGTATCCCCCAGATGGAAATAGAGAATTGTAGAAATACAAATTGGAGGTGGCTCTATATTGTAGCTCTCTACTGTATATCTTTAAACAAAATTTGTGAAGAGGTGATAAACTCTACATTGTTAGGAATGATTACAAGGTCCTATAGAACCACACACAGTAATATGGACATGCCAGCAACATGTTTCTGGAATTTTGTTTTGTTATCATTAAGAATATGCTATATATGCCTAAAAGGCTAAACAGAACTTAGAATTACAAATGGCAGAAATAAAAATAAAAAAAAATGCAATAAAGTGTCCACAAGATGTCGCAGTCATACAGCTGAACAAAAGAGAACAGTCGTTAGTCTTTTCTTCTTCTTTTTTTAAAGTTCGTCACTTTGGTTTATTTACATCAGAGATTTTGACCTAATTGTTCGTGGTTTGTTTGGTAATTGCTTTGTTTTGATTCTTTGACCACACAAACTCATTTGAATCCGTGATTATGTATCCTGCTATTGAGCAGCTCTAAAGCTCACAGATAATAGTCGGAAGAGTATTAAGGTCATGTTTTTTTTCTCCTTTATTGTGTTAATGATCATTAACCTTTTTCACTCTGCAACCTCCTCAATTCCGAGAAGTATTTTGTTTTGGTGGTAAACAGCGCTGAAAGAAAAACCTAAATAAGATGCTAAATTCTTAGAAAGAGTCTTTAAACTCACCACTTACAAATACAGCTTCCAAAAAGCCCTATGTTGTTTGGCGTCAAGGCCACAGAAGAGCCTGTTTTTTCACTATGACCTTTTGTCTGCATGGACCCATGTACCCATGACATTCGTTTTACTCGATAGCTTGACTACTACTTCTTGTTTACCGATATTTACTTGCATGTTTCAAACCTGGATGACATTGTTTGGTTCTTGGACATTGTCAAACCAAGAGCCATAACTTTAAAGAGGACTATGATTAGAGAACACACACTTCCTGTTCTTTGCAAGTCTTCTCACAAAGTTGTACTGTTCATCAGCTTGGGAATGATGAAAAAGTTAGGGCTCTATAAAAGTTTTTCGGTGCTGATATTGCTGTGTCTGGACTTCTTATAGTTATGCCTTGCTTTACATTAATTGCACAATGACTGCATCTTCTATTTTGGTGTAATTTGTCAAAAAACGAAACAATACTTGGTAGCGCTAATGAAAGTGTGTGCAAAATTTTGACGCTGACCTGACGTCTTCCGTTGTCCTGTAATAACCACGGCTCATCTTTCTTACCCAGAGTCATCAGAGTTTGCCTTCTTTTGCAGATTCAGCTTCCTGTTTTTGTCTTCAAGCTCATCAGCAATCTGTGGCAGGATTTTGTGAGAACGTTTTAGTCAGTTTCAGAAAGCCTCTGTAAATTATTTCCGCTGAGGATGGATTGGCCAGGAGACAATGGCCTGCAGGAAAACCCCTGACTTACTTCGTGTTCCCTGTTCACACTCTCCCAGACACCGCAGTCAGCCGCGAGCGTCATCGTCAGCTCGGGATCAAACGTGCTGCCGCCTCCTGGACTTCTGGGAGAGATTGTTATTCATTCCTGCGAGGAGGATGACGACGGGTCACCATTGTTGTCCCTCCGACTCCACCGATAGTCTCTGTGGCTCTGCAGGAAACCGTGTCAGATGGGCTGTTTTGATCATGTGTGTTTATGTATCTGATCTGATCCAGGAAGAGATGCTTTTGTCCTTTGCAGGAACATTGTTTTCCTTGGCTCAAGTAGACGATCCCAGATTGACTGCTGAAATCACATTTCATTAGCACATTATTAAATATCGAGAAACAGCCACATGGACGCCAAGAACTTATTAACGCAAAGCTCTTATGAAGTAAGTGTTGTGGAGATGTGTGACGGTGGTCCAAGTTGGCTGTCAGGGTTCGATGATTTATGAGGGAAAGTAAGGGAGGAGCAATGCTTTGTTTATCTCTGGAGATCTCCACAGGTTCAGCTTGGAGTAACCTCTGGAGCTTTCCTGGGGAGGGCCCGGAAAAAGTCACGCTGCGGGAAGTGTGTCTCTGGGTTTATAAACACAGATCCCGCCCTGTGTCCTGCTAGAAGTGTTTACATCTGACTACCCACAAGTGTGACAGTGCTGCGGGGTATTTTGCTAACCTTTTGACCAGGTGCTTCATTTCACAACAAGCTCCAAGAATCAAAGTCCTCCGAAGGTTCATCTCTTTCCCACAACTGGACTGCAGATATGTACAAGAACAGCTACTCCCAGGCCACGTTCGGACTGGAGGCCAAAAAAATCCACAAGGCGAAAAAGGGGAAAAGCTGCGGCTACTACATGAGGATTGTGTTCTTCTTCTCGTCTCTGATCCAGTCGCTCATCATCGCCAGCTTGGTGCTCTTCCTCGTGTACGGACAGCCAGAGAAGACCGCCGAGGAGAAGAGGCTGGAAGACCTACAGCAGGCCTACGACACGCTCTCCAAAGACCACACCAAACTGCGAAAGGAGAAAGCCGATCTCGCTACAGCCCTCAAAACGAAGAGCGGAGAGAAGGACGCAGCAGACAAGGAGATCACGAAACTGAAAACTGACCTTAACATATCAATTGCCGGCAGCAAAAACTGGCAGAGGTTGAATGTAAGTACTCTATTTGCTTGCTTGGTATTTCGATTAACAACCTGGGATTTTGCTTGTTAAGACCTGAAACACAAGAAAGACGATAATGTGAATGTTTCCAATGTCCAATATAGCTTTCCTGGACTGTACACTGGCTTTAAAAAACTTTCTTGTGTCCTAATTGTGACGATTGAGATTTCATTTAGTGTAAACCGTCATTTTATTCCAAGATATTTTGAAGTTATTCTCATGTGATTACCGTCAAATTGTACATTTGGTGGTATATTATGGCATTTTTTAAGGCAGGGGTGTCAAACTCAATTCCTGAAGGGCCGCAACCCTGCACAGTTTAGTTCCAACCCTGCTCCAACACACTTACCTGTAGGTTTCAAACAAGCCTAAAGGACTCGATTAGTTTGATCAGGTGTGTTTAATTAGGGTTGGAACTAAACTGTGCAGAGCTGCGGCCCTTTTGGAACTGAGTTTGACACCTGTGTTTTAAGGTATATTAAAATTGTAACCCCAACAATAATGAAAGGTTTGATTTCGATTGTCTGTTTTACAGAGTCAATGCGAGGCCAATGCTAAATTGAAGCTTTCAAGCACTCGAAATACTCCCCTCATGTGTCCACCAGCTAACCCCAATCAGAGTGGTGAGTCTATAAACCAATCAATGAATAATTAATGTCACGAATAAACCATCCTGTAGGCATCTCCCTCTTTTTTCGTCTCAGGTGAAGTAAAAACTCTGAATACTCTACTGGACCAGCAGAAGGCATTGTATGGGATCCTGAAGAGTAACTTCAGCCAGACCGTGGAGTACCTTAAATCTGATTTGGACCACGCAGTGAAGGATAAAAACGAGCACCACAGCCAGGTGATAAAACTGAGACAGGAAAACAAAGATTTGAAATCTCAGCTTGATGTTTACACCAAAAAGTGCAAAGAAGACTTTGCCGACTCCCTGCAAGGCATCCAGACGGTCACAACTGCCTTCCTGAGCAAAATTGACAACTTCTTCACCAACTCGGTCACGTTTCACCTCACCTGCCCCAAGCAGGAGGAGCAGATGGACAGGATTCGCTCCAACTGCTCCAGCCTCTCTCGGCAGGTGGAGGACAAGTTCCAGAGCTACCTGAACAACGTGGGTGCCAAAGTCTCCAATATTCAGAAACAGAGCAGCTGGTTGGAGATACAGAATGAGAAGCTGACTTCAGAACTGGACAAGTGCAAAACAGAAGC